CATGGGAGACAAAAGACCTTCAATTGAAAAACATTGGGTTGGAATACGCGATGGATAATTGGGAAAGGGTGAAAAAAGGAAAAGGATTGACCCGTTTATTTGCGACATGTTTTGTTGATCACTTGGAAGAATTGTTTTTTGCAACTAATAAAAGAAGTGAGATGGCAAAATGGCGAATTATTAATTGTCCAATCGAAACTTTTGAATTTTTTGATAAAATTAATTAATCGCTGCCTATATTCAGGAAAATATTTATTTACAATAAATACAAATTACTTATTACAGATATAAATTACAAAATAAATAACAAGCTTTTAAACATATGGGAGGTTTGCTATTAAAATCGAGTTAAGAACATAGTAAATCATATGATCCGTAACGTGATTTTAATAGCTTACCTTTCATATACACATATATTATATATTCTTTTTGCTTAATCTTGAAATATTGACCAGACTGGTAGGACCGAATGGTACAAGACCGGTCTTAGGACCGGTCCTTAAACTGACTTATGGACCGGTCCAGTCCAAAGAAATATGAAAGACCGGTCTTTTGGACCGGACCAGACCAGACTGGACCGATCCAACCCTACCAGTACGGTACAGTACGATGTCAAATTTCAACAAAAATACTGATCTGCATAATCGTACCGTACTGGTCTGGCGAATCGTACTGTACCGGTTTTCTATCTACCCCCGATTATGATTATATCGATTTATTTTCTTTCCAAAAAAAGAAAAAAAAAAAGAAACATGAGTGACGAAGTTAATAAAACTAATGACATCCAAAGTGATAAAGAGATTAATGAAAGTGAAATTGAATGTTGTGATGATTCGTTCGAAGATGAAGGTAAAACGGATGAAACAGATGACCTTTACATTGATAGACAATTTGTATCATGGCAAGAAGTAGCATTATTTCTTAATGATTATTGTATACAATAGGGATTTGGATACAGAAAGGATCGCTCAAAGAAAGATAATGAAAATAGTGAAGAGATTATAAAGCGAACATTTATGTAATCATGCGGGTATATATAAACCAAAGAAAATGGCTAATCTTGATGATAGCGAACTAAAATTTCCTGCAGGTTTAATTGTCTATGGCATGTAAATATACATAAAAAGCATGGAGTTTATATCGTAACAACCTTCATTGATGAACACAAAGGACACATTCTTAACCTTCAAACAGTAAACTTTTTACCTCAATTTCAAAAATTAACTAAAGAAATGTTAGCAGATATCCGTTTTTAGACACTTGAAGGAGATGTTATGGCAAGCAAGCAATATCGGATGCTTACAAACAATATCAGCAACGTGTTATTAAACAAGATCTGTATAATGTAATTTACATAGTTTGACACGAAAAAGCTCCAGTGAAAAAAGATGCATTTAATCTTCTTAACAGTCTATTAGACAAAAAGAATAATGAATCAGGATGGGTTGTAGAGTATCAATTAGATGCAACATCACAAGCTCTTACACATTTATTGTGGATGGAACCTCAACAGGTTAAATTATACATTCGCTATGGTTCTGTTGTCAACACTGCAAAAACCAATATGTATGGCCTTCCACTTTTAATTTTTGCAGTTATTAATAATAATTTTAGTTCATGATCAGTTGCATAAGAATTTCTTGATAATGAAACACTAGAATCTTATGCTAGGAGCTTAGGTGTTATAAATCAAATACTTGGAATTTATCCATTAGTAATCATTACAGATGCTGATCCTGCAATTGATACCACTATTACTCAAATCTATCTCTTAACAAAACATTTGCATTGCATTTGGCATATAGAACTAAATATTCCTAAAAATTTGAAAGAAAGACTATGTGAAGATTATAAAACCTTTGCAAAAAAGTTTTTTCAGTGCTGGAATAAACTCAATATTGAAACATTTGAATGTAAATATGCAAATTTAATAGAAAATTATCTAACTGTAAAAAGTTACCTTGAATGGTTATATAAGAGTAAAAGTTTATAGCTAGTGTTATACAAGTTATATTTTACAGCAGGAATGCAATCATCAAGGCATATTAAATGCATTAATAGGGTGATCAAAAATGATTTGAAAAATTGATATGTACCATATATGGATTGTTACGTAGGAAAACCAGGGTCTGAAATGATTTCAAATTTTGAGTAAATTCAAAAAACATTTATATTACACAATATTTTTTGATTTATTTTTAGATGAGAAGATGATAAAGATCACAAATTTTATGTACAAAAACCATGCTCTGAGATAATGTTACATAATTATAATAAAATATTTTCTTGCATCTTAAATCACTAAAAATTGACTTTAGTTATTAAATTTAGAAAAACAATTAACATAATAGGAAAATTTTACTTGAAATTTGATCATATTAATATTTTTTTTACAAGTTTCTTTACATTTTATCAAATATAATATCTTTACCTTCTTATAATTTATTTGCTTTAGAATTAGAAGAATATGCTAAATATGAAAATATAATGGAAAAATTTGATGAAATTCAACAATTTTTTAATAGTAATCAATGTGATTGTAGAAAATCTAAAAATAATAAAGATATATGTACTTGTTTTAAAAAAATTGGGTTTAAACAGTTTTTATAAGACATATTAAATTTAGTAAATTAGATAAACAACAATTAAACTTTACTATTAAAGGTCAATTAATGGCATTTACTTATAATGACAAACAAATTTCTGAAATTTCACAAAAAAAAATACATTAGAATTATCGATATTCTTATAATCAATCTTTTAATATTTATGTAAATACTTATTAAAAGATGGTTAGAATTACAAAATATTATTTTGAAATTCTATAACAAGATTTTCAAAAATGGTTTCACTCAATAAATTCATGAAATACAGGATAAATACTACATTTATCATTAAAAGTTATAATTACACCTGAATTAAAAGATATTATTAAAACATTTATCTCTAATTATGCATAAATTCATGAATTACCATCTCCTTTAAGACATCAGACTGATTCAATGATATTTATTTATCTTCCAACTTTAACAACATATAAATCTGTCTATAATAAATTTAAAGTTGCATATTTACAAGAATATAGTAGTAATGTACGAGTTCTTAGTTATGTATCTTTTTTAGAAATTTGGCATTATTCAACATTGCATATAAAATTTGAAAAATATTGAACTGATTTATGTAAAATATGCCAATCATTTAAAGTACAATTAATTTTAGCAAAAAAAGATAATGAGGAATATTTATCTGTTGCAGAAAAATTCAATATTCATAAAGCTCAAGCTAATACTGAGCGTAATTATTATAATAAAAATATTTAATTAAGTAAAACAAATAATAATATTATTTACATATATTATAACTGGACTCAGAATGTCTTTATTCTTTATTCATCTCAACAAATAAAGTGTAACTTATTTTAAAATAGCTTTTGCTGCTCATATTTTAGTGTTTGTAGTACTAGTAATACAAACAGACAACTTAATTTTATTGTTGGAGAAAATGAATTTTCTGTAGGAATAGCAAAAAGAGCTAATACTACTCTTAACATGGTATTTCATTCACTTAATGAATTTAAAAAAAATGAAAAAAAGCTTTTAAAAATCATGTGTGATAATTGCAGTTGATAAAACAAAAATAATCTTTCTATAGTTTTGGTTTTAGTTAATAATAATAGGATGGTTTGATAAAATTAAATTAAATTTCATGATTCTGGGATATATTAAGTTCGTTTGCGATTGGTATTTTGAAAATTTTAAAAAATTTTATTATAAAAATAAAATTAATACAGTAAATAACGTTGAACAGATAATTAATATATCTACAACTGCAAATGAAACAGTAAGATATAATGAAGGATCAGATTGTATTTGGTATGATTTTATATCATTTCTTTCATCACATTTTAAAAAACTTTCAGAAATAATAAAATATTATCATTTTTGATTTTTTAAGTTAAAATTAGGCAAGGTTTATTGTTCTAAAGAATCAGGAAGTGAAGAAGTTCCATTTATTCTTCTTTTAAATAATAATTGTAATTTCAATCAACTTCCTTCGATTCTTAATATTCAACCTTTGACATTAAAATGTCAATAATATTTGTATAATAAAATTTATCAGTATGTTGATAAAGAATTTAAAGATGTCTTATGTCCTCTTCCTACTAGTAATAATGAAGATATTTAGATATTTTTATATATAAAAACATTTTTGGTCATTAATAAATTTTATTAAAAAATTTAATAAAAACTTTTTAAAAATAATAATTTATTATATTTATTTATATGAATAATAACTTAGAATATTAAAAAAAATATATTCTAAAAAAGGTTTAACTAATATCATTACAAATAATAAAATAAATAAATAATAAAATTTAAAATTATAAAAAAAAGAAAAACAATTTCAAAAAATAAAAAAAAATATATAGGCCTCTCTGATCAGATCAATCCAAGGATTCTGATGTCTATAAAACGGAAAAATTAAGTAATTTTAATTTTTTTAATTTGTTCATTTAATTAAATAAAAAAATATTTATCTTTTCCCTTCATAGAATTTGCCTCCAATCTAATCAATCCAAGGATTCCAACATCTACAAAAGAAAAAAGATAAGTAATTATTAATTTTATTAATTTAATTTTATTAAAAAAAAATTTACCTTTCTCCTTTATAGAATAGAGTTTATATCCATTCATCCAGATATCTGATTAACTTGTATCTGTTTCAATCTGGATATCCAAATAATTTATCTGGATAATATCCAAATATCCAAGATATTAACCGGATATTCTAAATTATCTGGATATCCAGTATATCTTTTGAATAAAAATTTTATTTAAGGTTTTTTTTTCATAATTGATAATTTAATTTAATTTCTCTTTTTTCAAAGTTAATAAAGAAACTTCACTATACGTATATTTTATATTGTTTCATATATGCAATATGTATTGTCGATCATAAATAATATCATCATATCACGTCATTTAATGTCATATAAAATATATAATATTTATAATATTTATAAAAATAAACAATAGAAAATTTACAAAACAATTA